AGCTGCTGCATTAACAGGAATTTCCTGCGTAAATCCTCTTGAATGAATAGTAGGAAGAGGAGGGGTCAAGTCTTCTCTAAGCTCTCTAGGCGCAGGATTCCTTAGTCTCATTGTTTGTATATCATATAAGCTAAATTGTGTATTCAGGAATCTTCTAATTATTTCATCAATTTCTGTTGTGCTTTTTTTTTAATTTTATTCCATTCTTGCATTGCTTCACGACAAACATCAGCACAATTTGGGATGCTATTTCCAGTCTTAACTATAATACTATATACAAAAGCATTAGAAAATTTCTGATATTTATTTGCCGGTAAATTATAGATGGGTTTCTTATTAAATTTAGGGCTAAATAAAAATATTTGACAGCTCATTTTTTAATATTTGGTATAAAGTGTTAACGCGTCTTTTGTATAAATAAATTTTTTGTAGAAATATAAGTCAAACGCGACATAAAAACTCTGCAGCACATTTATAATTATTGTGAGCGATTTAAGTGAAGGCCAGTGTGCTGCAGTACATTTATAATCATTGTACATCTTGTCATACGTGTATATTGGAGCGATGATCAAAAAAACTAGTTTTAAATCAAAATAATAATATAAAAAAGTTTTTTATAGTTGAACATTATAAATTTATAGTACATTTAAAATATAAAAAAAATGTAATAAAACGGAAAGGTTAAAAAAGAAAAAATAAAAAAAAAAACAATAAAAAAAAAATCACTATTTAAATATTAAATTATTTAATTAATAACACCTAAAAAGGAAAGTGATCATTGTACACGTGACCAAATATCTTACCTGGGGGTAGGGGTAGACGCTACTATTAAAGCGATATTAGCTAATATATGTCACGGCTCTTATACCATTTACTTATTTATTAAATTGTATATATCATTTAATTAATAAAATTTAGTATAATGAATTTTTTTTTATATATTAATATCTTTATTATATTAAAGATCTTTTATATTATTATAAAATTCATTATATCAAAATTTAATATAAGAAAGAGAATGGCCAGAAATGACGTTATTTCCTAAGGGGGGGAGAGGGTTAAGACCATAATGATGTTACACACCTTTCATTTTTAGACACTTGTAGTTAATATAATTCTAGTCAGAATTGTGTTTTAATTTTATATTTCCTAAAATGAATGATGACATAGGGAGGGGAGGGTCAAAAATCCTAAAATTTAAATTACGTCATTTCTGGCTATCCCCAAAGTTAATTGTATTATATTATATAATAAATTAGTATTGAAAAAACTGGAGAAACTAAAGGATTTTAACAAGTTGGCAAAATGCTAAAATAGCAAAACTTTGCAAAACTTTAGAGAAAATTGAAACCTAATAAATTTATTATAAATGCTAAAACTACTAAAATCTTGCTAAAACTATAATAAAACTATAGTAAAATTTTAGAAAAACTAATTATAGGATTTTGGAGAAGTTTAAGTTAAAAAAGGCAAAATTTTTTGAATTGAAAAATAATAGTATATATCCATTTATATTATTTATAAAACTATCTAAAAAAAAATATAAAAATCTTTTTTTATTCTTTATATATATTTATATTTATTTGAAGTTTTTAACCTATTTACTAATAAAAAAGAATATTTTTAATATATATTTAAGGTTAAAATTAAAAAAATTTTAAAGTTTACACAAGATGTTTAAATACGGGTCATGTGAAATATAATGATACCAATGTTATATTCTTTTACTTTTTCTATGTAATATATGTATTTTTGAGTTTACTTAAGGCATCAATAGGGGTTTTAAATGCCATTTTTAACTTATATATAAAAACTGTCTTTGCCGATCATTTCCCAATTTTTTTTAAGAATGATCGGCAAAATCAATTATTTATAGGTAAAGTCAAAACTGATATTCAAAAGCACCTTTGATGCCTTAGATAAACTTGTAGAGCAGGCAAAAATCTATTTATCTACTAATTTTGAAGTTTATACTATTAGTCAAAATGGCAATAATCACATGACCCAGGTTCATATCCACTGATCTAAATTAAGGAATTTGACAATAATTTAATAAAAATTAGGTAAATTAAATTTTGCAGAAATGATCACACTTGTTCTACATGATCATATGACAAAATATCAAGAAATTACTTCAACAAAAAGTTGCATTAAAAAATTTTTTTCTTTCGTAAACTTCCTATTAAACTTCCCATCAACTTCCCATTAACTTGTCAACCAGTTTTTACATCAAGTAAGTTGAGAATTTTTGCAAGTATATTAGTAATTATTTTACATTAGACATAACTTGGAACTGTTTTTTTATTTTTATTTTTTATAGTTTATAAAAAAAATTTATTTAGAAAGCAAAATTATTCAAAAAAATCTTTCAATAAAGAAATAACTCTAAATATTAATAACGATGATTTAGCGAAATTAAATTATGTATTGATTAGTTGTTTAATTATAATCTATTTGATATTTATTATTAATTATTTTTCAGTTAATTTTTTTTCATTAAATCATTAAATATTCTGGATTTTTGTAAAGTTTTTCTTTTTTTTTTTTAATAAACTAACTTTATAATATTTTTTTCCCTTTTTTTCTAGAAACTCCTTCTATTGGTTTTGGGTTAAAGAGGTAAATATTTTGGGAGAGGTCTTAAAAGTTTTTTTATATATATTTTTAACATTTTTTCTTATGTAGGAATGGGTTTTGATCAATTTTAATTGGTACTGCACCACATAATTGATGATTGGCAAATTCTGCAAATCGGCAGATATGATATTTATTTTTTATGAATTTTAGTAATATGAATTTTACTATAATTTATTTTATATATAAATTTAATAAATTTTACAGTAAAATTCATACAACTAATGAAGTTTTTATAAATATACAAAAATAATAATATTAAAGCAATCTTTAATTTTTTATAAAATAAATAATTTTTCTTTCAATTTATTGAATCAAAAACTATTATTTAAATGTTATTTTAAACTACTACCATTATCTATATATTCTATTATTATCATATTAGAATTTGAACCTTAATAATACCAATTATAATATAATTTGTAAAGGAAATAAAGAGGACAAAAAGAATACAAATAAGTGACTTAATTTTTTTAAAAAATTAGCTTACCTCTCTTTCTTTCTTAACAACGGTATAACCTTTCTCTTTCTTTTTTTTTTTTCTTTCTTATTCAAGATGACGCAAAAAAGGAAGTTAATAGACTCAGTAAAGTTAGCAGACTCAGAAAATTCAGCATAGAAATATCAAAAATTATGTAAAATTTTTTATGCTTTTTACTCCAATATTTACTTCTTTTCCATTGATTATTTCATCCAATTTTTTTTATATATTCATTTTTCCAAAAAGTGTTGTTAATTTTAATAGGAGAGAAAATTAATTATGTAAGAAATTACATTAATTCTAATACAATCCAGTTTTGAAAATTGACTAGGGATTATGTAATTCTACCTACTTGTTAATTTCTCCTCCAGTTAAATATAATTAATTCTCTTTTCCAAAATACTTTATAAATGGTTTCTTCAAATTTCACAAATCTAAAACATTATTTCCACTAGTCCAATTTTAGCATTACATGAATTACACCAATAATAATGTGACGTTATTCCATTTCGCAATAATTGTTTATAAACAAAAGTCAATCACAATCTTATCTTATTGGTCACGACGTGTATTCAATTAAGCAGCATATAATTCTATTACGTATTACCCTATAAAAAATTTTATCCGTTATTTCTGTAAAAACTCCGTAAAAATGAGCCTTTCACGGATCTATTCAAGAAAAATGTAAATAATTCGATAAATTTCGTATAAGATTATTAATTCCGGAAATATGGTTTCCTTTTACGAAAAAAAGATGGAATATAAAAAACGGTTCGACTGGGAAACTGTGGTATGACTGGAAGCCACGCGGCTTTTTCTACATAATCGGGAGGATCTTATTGAGAAGTCCGAAAAATATTTTTTCGATATATTTTTTTTCGATCGATATACAACACATTATATTGCTTTATTTTATTTATTTATTTATTAATTTTTTTAATTTTTTTTTTTTTTTTTT